AGTCGATGTTCTCTCTCATCGATGTTTCTGTCTCTCCCTCTCCCTTCCTCTCCTGTTGGCTCTCACAACCCTCACTGTCGGCCAGTGCTCCTGAGACACCCGCTCCTGCAGCCTCTGGGACCCCACAGCCTCATTTCCCTCCTTCACCTTGGACCACACCTGGTCAGTGTCCCCTGCTGGCGTCCCGTCAGGGATTGGTCCCTGGCCAATGTTTCCTCACCACGTCCTCCCTAGATGATCTCATCCGCTGTCATTGCTTTAAATAACACCGACTTCCTGACAACCCCTAAATGCATACTTCCCATCCAGACCTCCTCTGAGCTCCAGACTCACTGACCCTATGGTCACTCGACGTGTCCCCTGGCACATCTGACAGGACCTCAGACTTGACACGCCCCCGACACAGCACCGGACCCGAGACCCCTCCCTGCGTCTGTGCCCCAAACGCAGCCGGGCCCTCGCTGTTCTGTGCACCCCGGTGAACGCCACGGCTGTCTCCCAGGGTGTCCGCTGCCAGCACAATGCGGGATCTACTTCCAAAACGTCTTAAGAATCCGCTCGCCTCTCTCCAGCTCCCATGCCTCTGCCTAGTCGCCCACCAGCCGTGTCGGAGGAGGAAAGTCAGCTCCCCGACCTCCCCAAGCCTCTCAGCAACTCCTCCTGCTGTGGAGTTCGCTCTGACAGACTCGCCACGCTTTGGAGATCCGACGTGAGTTGGGTCAGCGGTCTCTCGGATCTACTGCTTCTCGCTTTTCCCCTCCCTCACGCCCCCTCCTTTCGGGGGCCAGCGCCCCCTCCAGCGTGCCCACTTGAGGGGGCCGTTCTCTGAGGGTCCTCAGCAACGCGTATCTTTGGAAGTCAGCTCTCTGGAGTAGCTCTGCTGACGACCACATTGCGCTTCCATCAGGGCGGACTGTGCATCACCCCGATCATAATGCCGGTGACCTTCGGTGGTTTGGGTGCAGGTCCGGGTGACTCCCTGACTACATCGTGGGCTCCACGAGGTGTGAGCCAGGCTCGCGGCGTGACCACGATGCCGTCACAACACTGGCAGGCAGCGCTCCTCGGGGTGGGCTGCCCGCTGACCTGGTACAGCGGGACCAGGGGCTCAACACCCCTCAGAAGAGCCGGAGACCTTGAAACAACCACCGCGCAGGCTCCGCCTCGAGACTCCAGGGTGTGTGGCCGTGGGCCTGCATCGGAATTTCCGAGAGCTCTTCGGGGCTTCCAACGCACATCCAGGAGGGGATCCCCACCCCAGACGGGCTGTGGGGCCACTCCTAACTCGGGAATGGCGCCTCAGACCTAGTTTACGCCGGCAGGACGAGAGGAGCCCGCTGACGGGCAGGGTTTCCCCGAACAATGAGGGCAGTCAGAAATGTCACCCGAGGAAGCGGGGGAACGGAGGAGCCATACCGCGGGCGTCAGGCGGGGAGGACCCCCTGGCACTGGGGTCAGTACGAGCGGCTGTGGGGCCTGAAGCTGCTGGGTCTCACCCAGGTGTTGTCCCTTCCTTTTCGGGGCCCAGGGTCGGCGGGCACCGCCCAGGAGACGTCGGAGGGGCCCACAGCAGTGCTCCTCTGGGAAGTGTGGGGTCCTGGCGGGACAGCAGGACCTCCCTTCCCATCCCTTCCCGTCCTCCTGCCCCTGAGACAGCTGGAGAAACGCCCGCAGGGACATCGGCGCGAGGGGACGGAGAGTCTAGGGGTGCGTCGGGGAAGGGGGGGCGGCGACCAGGGAGGAAGAGGTTTTCTCTCCGACGGGGAGGGGGGGCCACCTGGGCAGGTGGAAGAGCTGCCCGCTGGGGTCTCTGAGGAAATGCTCACGCTGGGCCTGAAGGACCTCCCAGCACGGGCTCTGACCTGAGACTGTGTGACTTGTTGTTGGCTCACATTCAGGGTGTTGGAGGTGAGACTGGGAGCCCCCCACCTTTCCACAGACAGGCTGAGAGCTGGGGTCTCCGCGAACTGGGCAGCTTCAGCCCAACCCTCCCCAGACTCCAGGCGTCTGGGCACTGGCTGCAGACGGAGGGGAACGAGGCGGGCCGGCATCCAGGGCTGGCTGTCCCTCCCCCAGGTCCCGAACTAGGAGTCCATCGGACCCTCGAACATATTTTTAAAAGTCAGTGAAAACTCTGAAAGTTAAAAATAAGAACTTGGGGCTTAAAAATTGGATGATCTGGAAATACTACTCGGGGCTGGAGGAGGGCCCTTATTTTCCTCTCTCCCGTGTCTTCCTCCCCACGCCCACGAACCTCCACCTGCACCCACAGACCTCCACCCACGCCCACAGACGAACCTCCACCTGCACCCACAGACCTCCACCCACGCCCACAGACGAACCTCCACCTGCACCCACAGACCTCCACCCACGCCCACAGACGAACCTCCACCCGCACCCACAGACGAACCTCCACCTGCACCCACAGACCTCCACCCGCGCCCACAGACCTCCACCCATGTCTGCTGGGGCACCAGCTCGGAGCTAAGGCATAGTTGGGGCACGGGGTCTGCGCGGCCCCACGGACGCCCTGAGTTCACCTCGTCTTTGCGTTTGACTCGGCCTTAGGCCACCATGAGGTCTGGGAGCAGGATTCAAGTCGCATTCTCTGAGTCTCCGTGCTCTTCAGCTACTGTTCACTGGGCTGCCCGTTAAAATGGCCAAACCAGTTGCCCTCCAAGCGGGCTGTCGTTCTGAATGTCACTCGGAAGCTCATGGGAGATGCCAAGCCCTGAGCTGCTGGGCGGGGCTCTGAGACCCCACCGGCCTCGTGGCCCCGCCCCTCAGGCTCTGGGGGGCCGCAGTGGGCAGGGCAGAGGGTCTGCCCCGGCCTGGCCGCAGGAAGGGCATGTCTGGGAGCCGCGGAGGGAGGTCCCTGGACCTTCCCTCACTCCGAGGCCGCCTCATGGTGTCCCGTGAGAGCGTCATCTTCTCGGCGGGGATGGGACCCCGCTCCCTGGCCTGCCCTTAGCCTCGAGGGTCTGGGAACTCCGACTCCCCCTGGCGCTCTGCACCCCGGTGGCAGCTGCTCCCTGACACTGGTTTCTGAGTCGGCAGGGTCTCCCTTTGTTCCGGGTTCTCCAGCACCTGTTCAGTGACCCCCAGGGCATCAGAACCACCCGAGAGAGGAAGGGCTCCCCACCCCCGCTCTGATTCTCTGGGTCTGGGGTGGGGCCTGGGAATCTGCTTCTCTGTCAAGTTCCGGGTGGCGCAGATGCAGATGCCGTGGTCTGGGGACCCCATGATCAGACCACTGCGGCACGTTCCACTTCCTGTGTTAAAACGGGGTGTCCTGTTTGCTCGCTGACCAGGTGGGCTCGGCCGCCTTCGCTGAACTAGCACGTCGCCCTGCTGGGTCTGGGTGTTGGGCGGGGGAGTAGTGGCAGCACCACCCCTGGCCTGACGGTCCCACGAGACCGAAGCACTCTCGAGGTCTGTCGGTGCCCACCCTGCGTCTGGGCTCCGCTCCCCTGCCTGCATGGCAAAGCCTTCGCTTCCTCCACCGTCGTCCAAGCCGACACCCTGGCTCTGCCCGCCGTCTCTGCGGGCCAGCTCGGTCACCCCGAACCATCCGAGTCTGACTCCTCTAACCTGTGCTGTCCCAAGGGGTCAAGTCAGCGACTTCGGGGCTGCGTTCCCAGCCCACCACGCACTGAGCGGTGGGCTGTGTGCAGAACCTCGCGCCGGACGCTTCGCTAGAAAGAAAGACGAGAAAGACGCAGACTGGACTCCCGGGGTGATCATCGTGCACAGTTGAAAATGGTAGTATCTGCTTGCGAAAGATCTGGAAAATGTACTAGTCGACGCCCCTAGAGAGAGCCGTTTTGGTCGAGTGTGTCCAGGTGGGGCCTGAGCCCCACAAAAAGGGCCAGAGGCTTGAGGGCTGGCTGACCCCCAGGCGCTGGTTCCAGAGAGGGAGCTGGCGAGTGTGTGTCTGGAGGGCTTACGGTGGGGGTGGGGAGCAAGAAGGGACCTGGGCCTGGTGGCAGTCGAGGGACAACGTCAGAGGAGAAGGAGGTGTGCCATGCAGCTTGCTCGTGTGCAGTGACGTCTACTGCATCTCCCCACGGACCCTTCGTGCAGCTGCTGGCTCCCGGGGAGCAGGGCGGAGCCCGGAGTCTCTGCAGCTTTGGGGCGGGAAGAAGCCAGAGACATCTGCAGAAACATGGCTGCATGGGCGTGGGATGTTTATTTTCCCTTTTCCCTCCTTGTCAGTATATCCTAAAGCACCCCGTGGCCCTGGCTGGATTTCGTATTCTTGTCCCTCGGCCCTGGTTGTGAGCGGCACAGGCATTGGTGGATTCATTTCTGGGTTTAGAAGGTAACTCTGCCGGGACACACCGGTAGGTGACATAAAGTGCCGACAGCCCTGGGTGGGGCAAATCCTGTGTGGGGGGAACATGTGTCCTTTGCTTTGTTGGATGGTTTTTATTTATTTTTCTGATTATATGTAAATAAACGCCCATTATTGAACATTTGTAAATATTGAAAAGTAGGAGAAAAAATGAAAATCGCCTATAATTTCACTGCTCAGAGGTTACTAATACCAACAGGATGTCTCTCTCTCTGCATATCTTTATATGTATTTATGCAATCTATATATGGCAGCTGTATATAGAGATATATATACACTATATATCTATATATATTTTCTCTATATATAAATAAATCAAATTAGTTCCGTGTTGATGAAATTTTATATACTGCTTTTTTTTTACTTAACTTTCTTTTCTCTTTTTTTTTTTATTCTCACTCGAGGACATTTTTCCATTTTTTTTGCTCAGAGTAGGAGGGAGAGAGAGGAAGAGAGAGAGAGAGAGAAACATCGACGTGAAAGGGACACATCGAGTGGCTGCCACCCGCATGACCCCAACCAGGGCCGGGGACAAACTGCGGCCAAGGTGCATGCCCTTAGCGGGAACCGAACCCGGGCCTCTCTGGTCCGCGGGCTGACGCTCTAACCACTGAGCCAGACCAGCCAGGGCGAAGTTCGTTCTCACCTGAAATGAAGCTCAGAAGATACAGCCCCAGCGGGCCGTGCAGAGCTTCGAAGGGCTTGCCGAAGGCGTTGTACATGAAGAAGGCCGTGCCCAGCATGGTGGCGAGGGACAGGATGATGGAGAAGAGGATGACATTCACGTGCATGCTCACGGGGATCGCTTGGAGCAGGTCTGGGAAAACTGAAGACCGACAGACATGGGAAGAGATTTCATTAGCCGTTGTCTGCAAGTGTGATGTAAAAATTAAATACCCAAGACTTTCGGTCATGATGGCACAAAGGCAAACTCGGTTCTCGCCTCCTCCCACAGCCACATCAAGATGACAACTAAACTACAGAACAATCATCACTCAGAACCGCCTGACATGGAGCTGGATGGAAGTCCAACAGCTACGAGATTAAAGCAGAACCACATGGAGACTGGTAGGAGGGCGGAGCTGGACGGGCTGGTCCCACACCCACGTGTGGTGGATAAAAATCAGGGGGCCACCTCGGCTGGGAAGGTCCTCCCTGAGGACTGAGGGGTCCCCGTCCCACACCAGGTGCCCAGCTCAGGGTCCCAGTGCCAGGAAGAGAATCCCCATCACTTCTGGCTATAAAACCAGTGGGAACTGAGGCTCAGGGAGGCTGCAGCTGAGGGGCCCCAGGCAGCTCCTTTTAAAGGACCCGCGCATGGACTTACTCAGACCTGCTCCCTCCAGGGGAGGCAGCTTGAAAGGCACCAGAGACATATGGGGGAGAACTGAGTTTTTTGGCATCAGGGCAAAGGCTGGAGAGGTAGCTTTCTCCTAAACAGATGTGCTGTCAGAGGCCTTTGTTCCTTTGGTGAGCCCTTCCCTGGGCCGGCAGACAGCCACCATATCTGGGACTCCAGCAACCTGGCTCACACTGTTGGCCCCGCCCTGGTGATTCCCTGAGGCCCCGCCCCACCCGACTTTCAGGCCCACCCAAGCTGTTTCCAAAGGCTTTACCTTTGGATTGGCCTGTCTTGGATCCTGCTTCAGATTTTCCTAAAATCTCAAACAAGCAGCATCTGGTCTCAGTGGGCCCCATACCTCTCGTTAAGTGGCCCCAGGCCTGGCACTAGGAGCAGCCAGCCTTGGTTCACAGCTTGACTTTGCCTGGGCACCTCCAAGCCCAGCACAAGAAGCAGCCATCAGCAGATCACTTTGTAGCTCATTCTGGGTGGCAGATAAAAATCAGGGGGCCACCTCGGCTGGGAAGGTCCTGGGTAGAACACAGGCAGTGGCTGACCTTGCCCCAGAGCCACCACACCCAGTGGACATCTTAGACCATGTCAAAGCACCACCACCCAACCACCTCCACAAGTGACACACTCAGTGAGTGGATTCAGGGGTTATCAGAGCCCTGCTGAAGTAAGTCTTGCTCTGTGTGGTGGGCCCTGCACAGCTGATCCTCCAAGGTGGTCAGAGGTCAGTGGTCAGTGGGCACAGCCAGTCCTTGCAGCTAATCAGCCTGAGTAAATCCCTCCCATTGACATGCCAACAGCAATCAAGAGTTAATTACAACAGAAGGGTGGACAGTTCACACGAGGGGTGCACCTCGAGGGCCCAGCTGGGGTAATCAGGAAGGCTGTGCCACTGAACCCTACAGGACACCTACTACAATAGGCCACCCTAGGAAGCTCAGGGGACATAGCAACTCTACCTAATACATAGAACAAACACAGGGAGGCAGCCAAAATGAGGAGACAAAGAAACAGGTCCCAAATGAAAGAACAGAACAAAACTCCAGGAAAAGAACTAAATAAAATGGAAATAAGCAACCTAACAGATGCAGAGTTCAAAAGACTGCTTATAAGGATGTTTAATGAACTTAGTGAGGACCTCAAAAACATAAAAAAGGACCAGTCAGAAATGAAGGATGCATTAACTGAAATAAAGAATAATTGACAGGGAATCAATAGTAGAACATGTGAAGCCCAGAAGTAAACCATTAATTTGGAATATAAGGAAGCAAACAAAAAAAAGATTTAAAAAAATGAAGACATTGTATGGAGCCTCTGGGACAACTCCGAGCATGCCATGCCAGCATTCGCATCATGGGGGTGTCAGAAGGAGAAGAGAGAGAACAAGAAATTGAATATTTATTTAAAAAAATAATAACAGAAAAGTTCCCTAGCTGGTGAAGGAAACAGACATACAAGTCCAAGAAGCACAGAGAGTCTCAAACAAGATAAACCCAAAGAAGACCACACCAAGACACATCATCATCAAAGGTTAAAGACAAAGAGGGAATTATAAGAACAGCAAGAGAAAAGCAGCTAGTTACCTACAAAGGAGCTCCCATAAGACTGTCAGCTGATTTCTCAAAAGAAACTTTGCAGGCCAGAAGGGAGTGGCAAGAAATGTTCAAAGTGATGTAAAGCATCGACCTACAACCAAAATTACTCTATCCTGCAAAGCTATCCTTTAGAATCAATGGACATATAAAGAGTTTCCCAGACAAGAAAAAGCTAAAGGAGTTCATCACCACCAAACCATTATTATATGAAATGTTGAAGGGTTTTCTTGAAGGAGAAGAAGAACAAAAATATGAACAATAAAAGGACAATAAATACATATCTATTAACAATTGAAACTACAAACAAAATGAGCAAGCAGAACAGAAACAGACTCATAGATACAGAGAACTTTTTGTTACTTGCCAAATGGGAGGGGATGGGGGGGCTAAGTGAAAAGGATGAAGAAATTAAGAAGCATAAATTTGTTGTTAGACTGATGAACCTCAAAGGGAAGGGGAGAGGGAGGGCCAGGAGAGATCAACTAAAGAACTTCTAGGCATACATGCATAACCAGTGGACACAAACCATATTGTGGGGAAGGCAGGAGGGGGGCGGGATTGGGGAGGAGGGGGTCAATGGGGAAAAAAGAAGAGACATCTGTAATACATTCAACAATGAAGATAAGTTTTAAAAAAATGATTGAAAAAAAATACCCACCTTGGCTGATTTGGCTCAGTGGTTAGAGCGTCAGTCTGTGAACCAGAGTCTCTGGTTCGATTCCATTCAAGAGGATGTACCTCGGTTACAGTTCAGTCCCCGGCCCTGGTCAGGGTCTGGCTGGAGGCAACCAGTCTATGTGTCTCCCTCACAGTGATGTTTCTCTCTCTCTCTCTTCCTCCCTCCCTCCGTCCCTTTCTCCCTCCCACTCTATCTGAAGATAAATGGAAAAAATATCCTCATGTGGGGATTAAAAAAAAAAAAATCAAGTCCCCATATTTTTAACTTCAAAAAAAATCACTCAATGCCTTCAGATGAATACAATCTCACTAATTTACAAGGGATTTATAAAAAGATTTAAACATGGGATTATTTTATAGGACTCACCAGTAAAAACTACCAAAGGAGAGATTGGAGGGCATTATTTTTCTGCTTTGGTCATATGTAATTACTTCAATAAATAAGCGCCGGGTTTATAACCAAAAACTGTACCTAAGTTTGATGACCAAAACTTAAATTTTTTTTCAGAGAGAGGGAGAGAGAAACATCCACCGGTTGCCTTCCGTACGTACCTCGACTGGTACTCAAACCCACAACCTGGGTATGTGCCTGACGGGGAATCAAACCTACAACCTTTTGGTGTACCGGACAGTGCTCCAACACACTGAGCCACACAGGCCAAGACAATGAGCAAAACTTTTTTTATATCCTCACCTGAGGATGTTTTTCCATTTAGCTTCAGATAGAGTGTGTTTGGGGGGGGGGGGAGATAGGGTTAAAAAAAAAAATAGGGACAGACTATTTGAAAAAAACAGTTCTCGAGACAATGGACATCGAACATAAAGGGCAGTGATTCCTGAGCGATTAGGAAAAATAGGTGAGCCCCTTATCCCAGCTAAGGCCGGAGACGGTTTCTCGGTCACAGGTTCGGAGAACCAGGCAGAGCCTGCTGGTGTCTGCGTTGAGAACACGGCGAGTGAAACCAGGGAGGCCAAGTCTGCAGAGCTCACAGGGCAGGTAGAGAGTACTGAGCGGCCGCAGACCTGCAGAGGGTCCCCTTCATGCATTCATCAGTACCTCATGTGAGGAGGGTCCACGGCTTGGAGAAGAGCCACCTGAAGCCATTAGAGGAACCATCTCTGTCACTCACACAGAGTCGGAAATAGTGCCATCGATGGGAATGAGACACATCGACTCCTGCACGACCCGACCAGGGCCGGGGAAGGAACTGCAACCGAGGTACGTGCCCTTGGCCCGAATCGAACCTGCAACTCTTTGGTCCGCGGGCCACACTCTAACCGCTGAGCCAAACCGGCTGGGGCAATAAGCAAAACTTTTAATGACATTTTTCAGCCATCATCTTTTTTTTTTTTTTTAATCTATCTTATAGTGGCATTTTCAGTTTGGGGTTCTCTGGGAGAGTTCAAACAGCAGGAGGTTTTTATTTCCTTTGCTAAAAAAAAAAAATAGTTTCTAGCCCATACTAACTATAAAGAAGGGGATATTTGCAGTCCACTTCAACATGTTGACGGTGGCACAAGCTGTGGGAAAATAGTTTCTGGTGGTACACGAAATATTTTCCACTTGGAACACAGGCCAAGTCTATTTCTGGATGTTGTGTTTGGGGTACGCGTCCCTCATCTGCAGAGGAAATGAAATGCTTTGTAAACGGAGGGCTTCCCTCATCCGGTGAGGCACCAGCGTGCTCTGCATCAGCGAACCCATCTGGGAAGTCGATTTCAGTCCGTTTCGGTTCCCCGAACATTGACCAAGTGTTTAATTTATTTACTGAGCACCTACTATGCGCCAGGCTTTCTCCTCAGTGCGGGGAATAGAGCCGTCAAACAAGACGGACAAGTCCTGTTGCCTGTGGAACTCACAGCCTAATGGGAGCAGAGAGACGGTTAACAAGTAAACAAACCTGTGACCGACACCTGAGGCCAGAGATGACATCATCGGTTCCTTTCCTTTTGCACAGGTGACTTTCCCTCTGGAGGCGGAATGCATCCCTCAGTGCCTTGAACCTGGGCTGGCCTGTGATGATGTGAGCACCTGAGCACGGTAGCTCGCCTGGCCTATGAGAGGACCCCAGTTCCCACTCTTTACTTTTGGAGGCTTGAGCTGCTGGGCAGGAAGTCCAGGCTGCTCGGCTGGAGAGGGGCCACCTGGAGGGCACAGCAGGGAGGGAGGAGTGGGGAACTCCAGCCCAGCAAAGTCTC